GTACTCAGGTCTATGCCATTCTGCAGCATGCCCCGAAACTTTTGGGTCAATGGGAAGGGCACCTTGGCTGTGTGGGGGGGGAGAAGGAGGAGGAGGGGGGGGGGGGGGGGGGGGGGGGTGTGCACAAGGATAGTCAGGGGGAACAATACAGAGAATAGTTGTGAGCTGGTTCTCAAGCTCACGTCCACTGTGCCCAGGTCGATGCCATTCTGCAGCATGCCTCGGAACTTCTGAGTCAAGGGGAAGGGCACCTTGGCTGGAGGGATGGGGGGGCACAAGGAGAGACAGGGGGAACGATACAGAGAATACCTGTGAGCTGGTACTCAAGCTCACGCCTATCGCACTGTGCTCAGGTCTATGCCGTTCTGCAGCATGCCTCGGAACTTCTGGGTCAATGGGAAGGGCACCTTGGCTGCATGGGGAGGGGTGTGGGGGCAAGGAGAGACAGGGGGAACGAACAATACATAGAATAGTTGTGATCTGGTTCAGAAGCTCACGTCCATCGCACTGTGCTCAGGTCTATGCCGTTCTGTAGTATACCCCAAAACTTCTAGGTCAAGGGGAACCGCACCTAGGCTGTGAGAGGGGGCGCACAAGCAAGGGGACAAGGGCCAAGGCAAGAGATCAGTTGCGTGAAGATTGCATTTAGTACTGGTTTTTGAGAATTCTCAAGAGCGGTTCAGAAGCAGACGTCCCACCCCATTGTGCTCAGGCCGTCCCACCCCGACGGTTCAAAAGCCTATGCCGTTCTGCAGCATGCCTCGCGGAAAAACTCCAGTGTACCCCCCCCCCACCCCCCCCCCCGCCCCAACTTCACCACTCCGTATCCCCCAGAACCACTCTGCAACCCCCTGCACCCTTTCCGACCCCTCTGCACATCCCAGCACCACTCTGCACCACGCACCTGCCACGAATCCGGAGAAGAAAAAGTTGACCCAAGCGAAGGTGAGGGACTGAGGAGTGGGAGGGAGGGGAGGAGGTCAGATGGGAGGAGGGGAGTGAGGGGAAACAAGGAGTGAGTAAAGAGGAAAGTGAGAGACTGGAAAGCGGGAGGGACAGGTGGAGGTTAGACTGGAGGGGGGAAGGGAGAGGAAAAAAACTTTGGAATATAAGGAAGGTGAGAGATTGGAAAGTGGGAGGGACAGGAGGTGATTCAATCGAAAGGAGGGTTGGCAGCAAGAGGAAAAGAAGGGAAAAGCGGGAATGAGAGGGACTGAAATGGGAGAGGGAGCGAAGTCATCATATCCATGGCCACATTAAGGTCCGAGAACATGAGCAGAATACCTGGATCTACCACGTACTCGCTACAAGATACCTCACCTGCGGGATGATCATCGACAAGTTCTTCTTCATCATATCCATGGCCACGTTAGGGTCTGAAAACATGGCCGCTAGGAGGTTGATGGCAGGAGCACCACTGTACCTGGATCGTTCATGTACCCGTTATAGAGTGTCTTGCAAATCTCACCTGGGGAATGATCATCGACAAATTCTTCTTCATCATATCCATGGCCACGTTGGGGTCTGAGAACATGGCTGCCTGGGGGTTTCCGCCTTGCCCTTTAGGCACATGCAGCAGCCCATTCTCCTGTGAGACAAACACACATACACGGACACATGCGAACACATGAGAGCCTTGAGTCGCCTACAGCACACCAGCATGGCCACATTGGGGTCGGAGAACATGGCCGCCTGGGGGTTTCCGTCCTGCCCCTTTGGCACGTGCAGCAGCCCGTTCTCCTGTGAGGCACATGCACAACACGCACACACCAACACGCGCACACGACACGAAACACGTGTCTCTTGATGTGCCTGCTCTACACCCGTGGTGGGAACGGACGGGAAGCGGAGCATGGCAACCTGGGTGTTGCCGGCCTGCCCATTGGGCACGTGCAGCAGCTCATTCTCCTGTGAGACACGTGCACAACACGCACACAGCGCACACACCAACACGCGCACATGGTTGCATTGAGACGCCTACACCCATGGTGGGAAGGGGAAAGAGGGGAACATGGCCGCTTGGGGGTTTCCGGCCTGCCCATTGGGCACGTGCAACAGCTCATTCTCCTGTGAGACACGTGCACAACACACACACCAACACACAAAACACATGTCTGCGCTACACCCGTGGTGGGAACGGACGGACGCGACTCTTGAGGCGCCTCAAAAGTTGTCTCTTGATGTGTCTGCGCTACACCCCTGGTGGGAACGGACGGAAGCGGAGCATGGCAGCCTGGGTGTTGCCGCCCCGCCCCTTACATCCATACAGTCGCACCTCGTTACAGAACAGGTGGCGCCTCTGCGCGAAACTGCGTGAGGGGATGAAGCCTCCCGCTCCCCTCAGGTTGCGCGCGCGAATCACAAGCTGCCTGGCGGAGTAGAAACGCAGGGTGAGGGGGGGACGGGGGGAACGGGGAGGGGATGAAACGTGGAGTTTTGGGAGGCGGAGAGATGTAGGAAGGGGTAAGGGGGAGAAGAGGGGGAAAGAGGGGAACGGGAAGTCACTATGCTGCCTAGACGCTGGATCAAGACTCTTGATTGGGAACCAAATTACGGTAAAATCGCGCGGGCTTGATTAAACGTGCTTCGGCAACAGCTTGTCTCCTTATTACCCGTGCCTTTTGAGAATTCTTAAAAGCGATTCTGAAAGACTCATTCTCTCCATGCCCCTCCTCTCACCCTTTCTTGATCGCCTTCACATCGATTTTCGCATCGGATCGCAGTACGGTGCAATACAGTACACTACTGTGCAGTACGGTTCAGTACAGTACAGTCGCGCGATACTCACCCCTCCTTGATCGCCTTGACGTCGATCTTCGCATCGGATCGCATGAGCTTCGCGACGAAGTGTCGCAGAACGCCGATCAGGATCATCACCACCGTCAGCGGCACCAGCACCCAGTCGCGAATCTGCGGATCTAGCACAAGATTCCCCATCCTCGTTAAAGAGTCACCACTTTAACACCTGCTGAGCTTATTCCGCCCGCCTTCTTTCCTCTCGTGAACGCTTGCGTGGTCCGTTTGGTTCCCTCTCCAGCTCCGCACGGACCACTCTCTCCAACAAAGTCTGCTGGTAGATCCTCGCTCCGGCCTAAATCAAACGAGCTTATAGAGCTGGTAGTTATTCTGCTCAGCGCTCCGACTTATATTAAACGAGCTTTCGGTTTTTGTCAGACCCAGCTGCTGTAATGTCTAGATTAGCAAACTTAGGGTGTGTAAGTCCGAAGGGTGCGTGATCCGACTGGCCGGTTTGGGCGAAAGTAACACGGTTGCGAGAATCGCAAATATTTTCGACGAGCTTGCATAATCCGGCCACTTTTCGTAATTTTGGTGGCCGTTTCAAAAATTCGACATCAATCCGACATGTAGTCGACTCGAATTCGGCCAGGATGTCGACTTGGCAATGCAACAGTAATCCTGCGACGTAACATATTTTCGTAAGCCACTTATTGGCATCGTTACTTGTATCTCTGCGAATCTGCGACAATGTCGCAGCAATCCGAACAACAAATCTGACACATTTTATAAGCGGCCATCAAATCGGCCACCAAACGTGTCAGATTTGCAAACACAGCCAAAATTTGTCGACCAAAATTCGACCAACGCGTCGACGTTCGCGAATAGAAATTGGCGACCAAATGGTCGACAAATTACCAGCCAAAACAGGTTTCGGAGGATCTTACATACCCTAAGGGTGTGTCAGATCCGCTGAAAGCTGTTCTGGCTGGTTTTTTGTCGACCATATTGTCGACAAAATTTTTCGCGAAAGTCGACTACGTGGTCAACTTCGTAGTCGACCACCCATCAGCCACATCCCCAGAACAGACACATTTGGTGGCCGATTTACAGGGGTGTGTCAGATTTGCAGTTGAAGTTTTGGCCGGATTGTGCGAAGGCGTCGCATGTTTGTCAATGATTGGCTCTTTCGAAGTTACCATGTACCCTTTTATCGCATACAAAGTCGCATGGTCACTGTAGCTCAGCCTGGTAGACTTTCGAGTCGACTGCACGTCGGATTGTTTTTGACCCCTGAGACGGCCAGCGGATCTGACAACAAGTGGCCGGATGTGGCGAAGAGGCCGAAATTCGCGAACGAGCTTCGTAGCATCGTTACTTTCGCGAAAACCGGCCGGTCGGATTAGCACGTAAACGGATCTGACACACCCTAAGGGCGTGTAAAATCGGGGAGCATTTTGAAAAATGAGGTTTGGCCGGGATTTGTCGACCAAATGGTCGACACTTCTTTCGCACATGTCGACCACATGGCCGACTCAGTGTCGGCCAATAACCGGCCATTTTTTTCAGGCCTGCAAATTTTACAACTTCCAGGGGCGCATTGCTGGCCGACTCCAGAAAGTCGTAAACTTTCAAATGGCCGAATTGTGCGACGGAGTCGCACATGTGCACCCGATATTGGAACGCCCTTGCACCCCAATCTCAACCATAGCCTGAACATTGCTACCGCGGCTCCGTTCACACACGGTTCGGCATAGCACAATTAGCCAAAAGCCACCGCACCGACTCCACTAATAAGAGAAACCACTCCCGCGCGTTTCATTCAGTCCCTCAATGGCTACCAATTTCACTCCGCGTGCAACCCGTCTGTTAGCTACGGGGCTGGTACAGGCAGCCCTTGTGCCATGGATCACCACCTTGACGTACTCGTCCCCCTGCTGTTGGACATCGCCGAAGACTCTGACTACCAATTGTTCTGGCGCCGTGACCGTCAACTCCAGCGCGCACGCTGGATGGATCGTTTCCTACACCTAGCGCCGGAACACATGTACGAGGCGCTACGGGTTGAACGAAGTGTATTTGGATACCTGTGCACATCCCAAAAATTCAACTGCCGAAATTGGCTCGAAATCGTGGGATACCTCAACGCATCGCACGCGAGGTTACCCTCAAGAACCCAACAGGAAACATGAGGGCAACAACGATATCAAGCGAAATTCACGAGAATGTCGTTTACTATCGAGAAAACAAATTGACCAATCAGGATGCAGGAGAGTTTCGAGGTTACCTCAAGGAAACCCCACTGCCTCGGAACGAGGCTAGTCCACTGGCTTGGTCGCACTGTTTCGGAAACCGAAGCTGACCCGCAGCAGGTTTCGATAATAGTGTAAGTTCTAGCAGCACTGCTGAATGATGAGATTGGTTAAAGCCCAAGACCTGAATTACAAAAAGGAGTAGGCAAACTGTGCACAGTTTGCCTACCGAACCCAGAGTTGACCTCCCGAGCCAAGCTGGTTACCAGAAAACATCCCGCCAAAAAACACTGAGTCGTGGAGCAGAAGAGGTTTGGTTGGCGAGAGCCCCAACCACACCCCCCCGCAAGAACAAGGGCTCAAAATGTGCCCAGTTTGCAAAAATGGTAATTCAGGTCGTGCTTTTGTCCATAGTATGCGAGTTCCTCATGCGAAGAGAGAAAAAGAAGCCACTAAAGCATAGCCCATGAGCACTTCCGCCTTTATTCTTAGCCATCATACGGCTTAGAACTCCAGACGAATCTATCCTACGGCCGATATTGAGACCTCGACTACTTTTCTGGTCGTAGCTTATCGGCATGACAGCAACGCGAGGCCATATCACGTTTCCGCACTCGGTCGCACTGGCATCGCCCTTCCGCAAATATCGCATTTGGCCCTATCGTCTTCCGCGTCCCCCGCGCTTCCCCCAACCGTCTCTTGCATACCCCCCACGCACACGCCCACGCTTTCCCTCATCGTCGCTCACGCTTTCCCCCACCGTCGCTCACGCTTCCCCTTACCGCTGCTCACGCTTCCTCCTGCCTTCACCCAAGCTTCCCCCTACCGTCGCGAGCGCCTTCCCCCACCTTCACGCATCGCCGCTCATCGCCCACGATCTCTCCCACCGTCGCCCACGATTTCTCCCACCGCCGCCCACGATTTCTCCCACCGCCGCCCACACTTCCCCCCACCGTCGCCCACGCTTTCCCCCACCGTCGCCCGCGCTTCCCCTCCCATCGCCCTCCCTGTCGCCTGGAAATTTCCCTTACCGCCGACCTCCCTTCCCTCGCGCCTCTCTCCACGTCGCCATCACTCCCTTGCCTATCACGTTCCCCCTCTTCTCCGCACGCATGGCAGGTGCTGCTGCGGCTTTGGAGCAGAGTGCTGGGCGCACAGCTGGGGCAGCGCGTGCAGGCGGGCAGCAAGGAGCGCAATGCTGCAGGGGGCGGGGCAGGGGAGCGGGGGGAGGCGGGGCAAGGGAGCGGGGGAGGCTGGGCAGGGGAGCGGGGGAGGCTGGGCAGGGGAGTGGGGGAGGCGGGGCAGGGGAGCGGGGGAGGCGGGGCAGGGGAGCGGGGGAGGCGGGGCAAGGGAGCGGGGGAGGCAGGGCAGGGGAGCGGGGGAGGCGGGGCAGGGGAGCGGGGGAGGCGGGGCAGGGGAGCGGGGGAGGCGGGGCAGGGGAGCGGGGGAGGCGGGGCAGGGGAGCGGGGGAGGCGGGGGGTAGAGAGAGAGGGTGCAGGGATCCTCCTATCCCCCGTTCCACCCTTATACCTTGCCGCACTTTTACCTCTTACCCTCCTCCCTTACTCCGTTCCTTCGTTCCCCCAGTCGTCGTCCTCTCCCTCTCTCTTCCTCCCTTCCTCCATCTCTCCCACACTCTCAGCCTCACTACCCTCTTTCCCCTCTCTGTCGCCCGTCCTCCCTCCCTCCCTTCCTTCCGTTCGCCCTTCCTACCATTCTCACATTTCTTTCATCCTCCCTCGATCCAGACCCCTTCCTCTTTCCATCTCCCGCTCTCCTACTCTCTTCCTCACTCCAACCCTGCGTGTCAGTTTCACCCTTTTACCTTCCCCATTGTACCCGGTCACACTCTTTCCTCCCTCCTTCGTCCCTCTCTTTCTCCCTCTTTCCCCCTTCGCTTTCTCCCATCCACCCTTCCTCTCATCCCCATGTCCTCTCATCCCCATGTCCTCTCATCCCCATGTCCTCTCATCCCCATGTCCTCTCATCCGCCCTTTCTCTCATCCGCCCGGCATCCTCCCTTCCTCCCTTTCATCCTCCCTTCCTCCCACCCAATATCGTCCCCTCCTACTTCCCCTTCCTTTCTTCATCTATTTCTCTCCCCCCAATCCTCTGCCTCAGTTCCTTTCCCCGCTCTCTCCCCCCTTTCCACCCACGCTTCATATCACCCCCCTTTCTTCCCTTCCTCCGTGTCTCCCTAGCTCATGTTCTCCGTGCATGGATGGTTCCCTGCCTTCTTGCCTTTCCATTGTCGTCGTTTCATATCCAACCCCGCTGCTTCCAACTTTGACACATCAGAGTTCGTGGTTCGTGTTTGTGCAGGTCTGGTATACATCCTGTTGTGTTGTGTTTGCTGTTAGCTACGTCATATACTGATGTTGGATGCTTCTCATAATACACCACTATGTGATTCGGAGCATATATGCACATGACCACCGCAAGTGCAACAAAGCAAATTACGTTTCCATAAAGGTTGCCAAGGGTGGACTATAGGCACAAGCACAAATCTAAGAGGTGAAAACTTTTCAACCCACTCCTGTTGGGACCCATGGTGCTGGGCACATGTACAAGCATGGTTCTGCGATGGAATGGGGAGGGAAGAGGGGATATGGCGAATAAGCGAGGGCTGGAGGTTGGAGGTACAGAAGGGCATGTATGGGAGGTGTGAACAGGGCAGAGGGGTGAGCGAAGGGGGAAATAGAGTGGGCAGAGAGGAGAAGGGGGTGAGCAAAGGGGGAAATATAGTCAGCAGGCAGGAGAAGGGGGTGAGCAAAGGGGAAAGCCAGTGAGCAGAGGGGAACAAGGGGTGTGAACAGGGGTGGTGAGAGGGATTGTGGGGAGAAAGGGTTGAACGAAGGGGAATAGAGAGTAAACAGGGGGGAAAGATAAGTGAGTCCAGGGGGAAAGAGAGTGAGCAGGGGGAGAGAGAGTGAGCAGAGGGGGAGAGAGTGAGCAGAGGGGGAGAGAGTGAGCAGAGGGGGAGAGAGAGTGAGCAGAGGGGGAGAGAGTGAGCAGAGGGGGAGAGAGTGAGCAGAGGGGGAGAGAGTGAGCAGAGGGGGAGAGAGTGAGCAGAGGGGGAGAGAGTGAGCAGAGGGGGAGAGAGTGAGCAGAGGGGGAGAGAGTGAGCAGAGGGGGAGAGAGTGAGCAGAGGGGGAGAGAGAGTGAGCAGAGGGGGAGAGAGTGAGCAGAGGGGGAGAGAGTGAGCAGAGGGGGAGAGAGTGAGCAGAGGGGGAGAGAGTGAGCAGAGGGGGAGAGAGTGAGCAGAGGGGGAGAGAGTGAGCAGAGGGGGAGAGAGTGAGCAGAGGGGGAGAGAGTGAGCAGAGGGGGAGAGAGTGAGCAGAGGGGGAGAGAGTGAGCAGAGGGGGAGAGAGTGAGCAGAGGGGGAGAGAGTGAGCAGAGGGGGAGAGAGTGAGCAGAGGGGGAGAGAGTGAGCAGAGGGGGAGAGAGTGAGCAGAGGGGGAGAGAGTGAGCAGAGGGGGAGAGAGTGAGCAGAGGGGAGAGAGTGAGCAGAGGGGGAGAGAGTGAGCAGAGGGGGAGAGAGTGAGCAGAGGGGGAGAGAGTGAGCAGAGGGGGAGAGAGTGAGCAGAGGGGGAGAGAGTGAGCAGAGGGGGAGAGAGTGAGCAGAGGGGGAGAGAGTGAGCAGAGGGGGAGAGAGTGAGCAGAGGGGGAGAGAGTGAGCAGAGGGGGAGAGAGTGAGCAGAGGGGGAGAGAGTGAGCAGAGGGGGAGAGAGTGAGCAGAGGGGGAGAGAGTGAGCAGAGGGGGAGAGAGTGAGCAGAGGGGGAGAGAGTGAGCAGAGGGGGAGAGAGTGAGCAGAGGGGGAGAGAGTGAGCAGAGGGGAGAGAGTGAGCAGAGGGGGAGAGAGTGAGCAGAGGGGGAGAGAGTGAGCAGAGGGGGAGAGAGTGAGCAGAGTAAGGGGAGAGAGTGAGTAAGGGCGTGAGCATGGGAGTAAGGGCGTGAGCATGGGAGTAAGGGCGTGAGCATGGGAGTAAGGGGAGTGAGCATGGGAGTAAGGGCGTGAGCATGGGAGTAAGGGCGTGAGCATGGGAGTAAGGGCGTGAGCATGGGAGTAGGGGAGTGAGCATGGGAGTAAGGGCGTGAGCATGGGAGTAGGGGAGTGAGCATGGGAGTAAGGGCGTGAGCATGGGAGTAGGGGAGTGAGCATGGGAGTAAGGGCGTGAGCATGGGAGTAGGGGAGTGAGCATGGGAGTAAGGGCGTGAGCATGGGAGTAGGGGAGTGAGCATGGGAGTAAGGGCGTGAGCATGGGAGTAGGGGAGTGAGCATGGGAGTAAGGGCGTGAGCATGGGAGTAGGGGAGTGAGCATGGGAGTAAGGGCGTGAGCATGGGAGTAGGGGAGTGAGCATGGGAGTAAGGGCGTGAGCATGGGAGTAAGGGCGTGAGCATGGGAGTAGGGGAGTGAGCATGGGAGTAAGGGCGTGAGCATGGGAGTAGGGGAGTGAGCATGGGAGTAAGGGCGTGAGCATGGGAGTAGGGGAGTGAGCATGGGAGTAAGGGCGTGAGCATGGGAGTAGGGGAGTGAGCATGGGAGTAAGGGCGTGAGCATGGGAGTAGGGGAGTGAGCATGGGAGTAAGGGCGTGAGCATGGGAGTAGGGGAGTGAGCATGGGAGTAAGGGCGTGAGCATGGGAGTAGGGGAGTGAGCATGGGAGTAAGGGCGTGAGCATGGGAGTAGGGGAGTGAGCATGGGAGTAGGGGAGTGAGCATGGGAGTAAGGGCGTGAGCATGGGAGTAGGGGAGTGAGCATGGGAGTAAGGGCGTGAGCATGGGAGTAAGGGCGTGAGCATGGGAGTAAGGGCGTGAGCATGGGAGTAAGGGCGTGAGCATGGGAGTAGGGGAGTGAGCATGGGAGTAAGGGCGTGAGCATGGGAGTAGGGGAGTGAGCATGGGAGTAAGGGCGTGAGCATGGGAGTAGGGGAGTGAGCATGGGAGTAAGGGCGTGAGCATGGGAGTAGGGGAGTGAGCATGGGAGTAAGGGCGTGAGCATGGGAGTAGGGGAGTGAGCATGGGAGTAAGGGCGTGAGCATGGGAGTAAGGGCGTGAGCATGGGAGTAAGGGCGTGAGCATGGGAGTAGGGGAGTGAGCATGGGAGTAAGGGCGTGAGCATGGGAGTAGGGGAGTGAGCATGGGAGTAAGGGCGTGAGCATGGGAGTAGGGGAGTGAGCATGGGAGTAAGGGCGTGAGCATGGGAGTAGGGGAGTGAGCATGGGAGTAAGGGCGTGAGCATGGGAGTAGGGGAGTGAGCATGGGAGTAAGGGCGTGAGCATGGGAGTAGGGGAGTGAGCATGGGAGTAAGGGCGTGAGCATGGGAGTAGGGGAGTGAGCATGGGAGTAAGGGCGTGAGCATGGGAGTAGGGGAGTGAGCATGGGAGTAGGGGTGAGCATGGGAGTAAGGGCGTGAGCATGGGAGTAGGGGAGTGAGCATGGGAGTAAGGGCGTGAGCATGGGAGTAAGGGCGTGAGCATGGGAGTAAGGGCGTGAGCATGGGAGTAAGGGCGTGAGCATGGGAGTAGGGGTGAGCATGGGAGTAAGGGCGTGAGCATGGGAGTAGGGGAGTGAGCATGGGAGTAAGGGCGTGAGCATGGGAGTAGGGGAGTGAGCATGGGAGTAAGGGCGTGAGCATGGGAGTAGGGGAGTGAGCATGGGAGTAAGGGCGTGAGCATGGGAGTAAGGGCGTGAGCATGGGAGTAAGGGCGTGAGCATGGGAGTAAGGGCGTGAGCATGGGAGTAAGGGCGTGAGCATGGGAGTAAGGGCGTGAGCATGGGAGTAAGGGCGTGAGCATGGGAGTAAGGGCGTGAGCATGGGAGTAAGGGCGTGAGCATGGGAGTAGGGGAGTGAGCATGGGAGTAAGGGCGTGAGCATGGGAGTAGGGGAGTGAGCATGGGAGTAAGGGCGTGAGCATGGGAGTAGGGGAGAGCGTGGCGAGCATGGGAGTAAGGGCGTGAGCGTGGCGAACGAAGGCGACGGAAGGAGGTGAGCGAAGGCGACGGGCGCGTAAGCGAAGGCGACGCGCGGGGAAAGCGAGGCGACGCGCGGTGGAAGTGAGGCGACGCGCGGGGGAAGCGAAGGCAACGCGCGGGGGAAGCGAAGGCGACGCGCGGGGAAATCGAAGGCGACGGGGGGGAAGAAGCGAAGGCGACGGGCGGGATAAGAAAAGGCAACGGTCATCCGAAAGCGAAGGTGGCGACGGGCGGGGGAAGCGAATGCGACGGGCTGCGGAAGCGAAGGCGACGACGAGGGTGACGGACAGAGGAAGCGTCGGACCTGGGGAAAGGAAAGCGAGGGCGAGGGGATGGTTACGCTTGGCCGAACGTGTGGGTTATGCGAACCCTGCATTCTACACCATATCTCATCGCACGCCGCACAATATCCTTACGCTTCGAACTCCCATTCCGCATCCTACACCATCGCATCGCGCCTTGATCCCTCTAGAGTCAACGGCCACGCCCTGCCTACACGTTTTCTATATTATGCCTAGTTTTAGTCTGCATGCTAGGATTGTCGAAGTGTGCACAGTTTGGTAGGCACACTCTAACTCTGGTTGTTGTGGGAGGCACACCATCCATCACAAGTCTTCTTTGAAGCGACACAACTTTGTCGCAAACTGGTTTCGCGAGTGAAAGGGTTTCACAACCCAACCGAACCTCCCTCTGGCTGCCTTCCGAACCTAGTTTTTTGGCGTTGACTTCCGTTGAGTAATTCAGGTCTTGGGCTTTAACGCGCCTCACCATATCGCGTTGTATTCTGATAAGTTTCGCTGAGAAGCAGGCAGAATAACTGTCACCAATCAAATCCTTCCACGTCACTTCTGCACCGCAGATCCTTTTGGTGATGCGTCGAAGTGTATTTCAGTGGTTCTAACAGTTGCTCTGATTCAGTTGTTGAATCATCCATCTCACGCTTTTTCCAACTCGCCATGGCGTCATAGCGTCGCTACTTAGCGCTTAGTTGTCAGAAAGCTGTCCGTGCACGCTCTATGACTAGGATCCTTTAAATTTCCAGTATTTTACCATGGACTTCATAGGGTTTCCGGTATTGCCGAAGTCGAATAACGAGTAATTTCTATATTCTCTGATGATTGTTTCTTTATGGCAGATTACCGATGGCGGAAGCGATGCCAGGGTTTGTGCCGCCATCACGTACTGCCGTAGATCTCGTTGTCGCGGCGAGGCTCTTAGTAGCGGTCGTGAGGTAAGCGATATGACCGTGATGTGATAATTTATGATTTATGTCCCCTGGAGTTTCTGGATGAGCGCCGCTCGTTCTGTTTGGCATCATGTCGTCATCCTGTTTCGCAGGTTGAAGCCACATTTCTCTTTGTCAGCCACCCAGTTTGCTCTTGCTTTCTTATTGTCATTGTATGTTTCACTGCAATCCGATGCCCTTGCGTCTTAATTTGCGCCTTGATTTTGCAGGCGCTAGTTCACCGAGCCTCCTAGCTGCCAGATTCTCTTCGCCTGGTAAGCACGTTCGCCACTCGGTAATAGACAGCTGTAATTTCGCACTAGTGTTTCCCAGTCCGTCTGGGTCTTGACATGTTCCCATTCTGTGTTGTGTTCACTACTCAGGTGTGAAAGAAACTATGAATCAACGACCTGATTCTGAAGAAGTGTTATTTTCAAAGATATTTGCATCTCTATTTGATCTGAAACTTACTCTGTGCAGTCATAGTTTGTCTTTTGCACACTTGCACGGTGGTGTAAGTCCTAACATTGTGTTTTGAATGTATTCATCATTGTTATGAATCGTGTACGGGCATCTTTATATGGCGCACTCTTTATTTGGTATATTTAGCATATACAGGAAATGAGTCTTAGACGATGGAAACAGGCTTTATGAAATAGCATCAATACTATCAGCGATTAAAATGAGTCAAAATGACCCTAATTACATTATTATATGACAACGAGAAATAATTTAGTGTACTGTATGATTTTCTGGTCGTGAACAGTCTCACAGCGCGTACCAAGGTCGCGCATGATTCGTTCCAGGAATCTGGGAGAGGTTTCCTTGCAGTAGCTTCGCGGTTTCCCGCAGGTCACCTCATGTGGGTAACCTCGGGGTCACCACGAACTTTGAGGTAACCTCGCGGAATCCTATACTGAATCCTTTGGGTTACCTACAGCGGGGTAACCTGGAGGAAACCTTGGGGTAGGTTTTTGCCGGTTCAATTTTTGGGATGCAAAGCTTGGGCAACACGCCTGATCCGCTCGGGCAAAAGAGCGTGTAATGTCACGCTCCAAGTTGCCATGGTCCTTGTGCGGTTTGGAAGTGGGATGACGTACAGGGAGTTGGGGCTGATGTTCGGGTTCAGTCACACAAGGGTCCACCAAATATGCCAGGCGTGGATTGAATTCAACAGCGACTACTTGCAGGAAGAGTGGATCAACTGGCCCGATGAGGAAGACTTGGCGCTGTCGGAGGAAGAATTCCGCTGGGATAGTGGAATTCCCGGCATATGTGGTGCCATGGACGGCACATACATCCATACGCGAGGGTGGGGACCACACTCTGAGGAGTTCAAAAATCGAAAAGGTTTTTTCAGCGTCATATTACAACTGATCGTGGATGCGAACGGGCTGATTTGGAGCTTCCTTGCGGGGTGGCCCGGTTCATGCAACGACTCAAAGGTATTCTATAATTCAAAGGCCAAACAAAGGATTGAGCAAGGCGCTATTGGAAACTATGTCATTGTGAGCGACGCAGCCTACGGTCTAAAAGAATACACCTACACTCCCTATCGCGCTACCCCGGGACAACTCCTACCAGATGCACAAGCGGTGTGGAACAAGCAACAGTCACGAGCGCGCATGATCGTTGAGCAAGTCAACGGTCGGCTAAAGACGAAATGGAGAATCCTCGACGGGCGCATGGAGTGCCACCGCCGCCATGTCCCTGCCACCATCGCCGCCGTCGTGACTCTTCACAACATCGAGATGGTACTCAGGACACGTTACCGCATGGAGGCACAGTACCCGCGGAATCGGTGGTGGCTTCGTGGGCCGGCAGCCGATCTCGTGCACTCGGGGAGGGAGGTGCCCGGCTTCACGCCTGTTCATCGTCGGAATCGGTTTTGCGCTTTCCTTTACGCCTCATGGCGTCTTGGTCATCCGGAGCTCGCCCGTCCTCTTCTCGGGTACGTTCGAAAATGCGCGTCATTGTCGTTTCCACGCAAGCTGTCAACTCACGTGTCATGCTCCGACATACGTCCTCCACCCACGCGCGCTTTCCTTTACGGGCGCTCTTACTCATTGCGCCCCATTCCTCGTCTTCGTCATGTTCGTCCTCTGCCGCAGCCGCCGCTCTCGCCCTCGCCGTCGTGCGGCCACTGCGGAGCGAACCCCCTGGTCCAATATTCAGTGAAGTGGACGCCCTGCGGGGATGAGGCGACCCACGGGGACGCTTCGTCTGCGGTGTAGAGCTTGAAGGCTTCGACGGCGACGGTGTAGCGCCACCGGCAGGAGCGCTCTTCGCGGAAGTGGGCGTGGACTGCATTGCAGGTGGCGCCGAATGAGGCAGGATAGGACCTGCGCACGGGAGGTAGTAGGGATGGAGGATTAGAATGAGCGAGTGTTGTATGTGGAGCACTGCTCTTCGTAATGTGAAATCGTACATTAACGGATTAGAAATATTAATCGTATGAATTGTTGAAGGACATTCTTACCAGCGTCGGCAGTTGAGTCGTTTCCCGTGGCACTCACTGGTGCGGCTGGCAGACCGCGCGCGGATACGGTGCGCGGTGTTGTTGGTCCGCTTTCGCTTCCAACGAGCGGGGTCACAGGTGGGGCGTCTGTTGTCTCAGTCATGGGCGTATCGGCGGGTAAGTTCGGGCCGTTGACGGTGGGTTCGTCGGGACCACTCTCCACTGTGGTCGATGGGCGGACGGTTTCGCGGTCCCGCCATAATTCGTCCGCCATCTCGTACCATAAGGGGCACCCTTCTGGAAGACCCTCACCAGACTTCTTCCACACCCCACGCCATCGGTTCCAGCAAGCCTCCATGCGACGCAGCTTCGGTCGCAGGTGGGATACAGGATGGCGCCACCGAGGATTGCGGGCGAGCAAGTTGCGATGGAGCTTGGCGAACTGGTTCTGTCCCTGCATTCCATGCATGGAGCTCCATTCTCCTTTAACGTGCAGTTCGTATCGCTCCTGCATCAGCAGCATCTCGTCCTCCTTACTCCAGCGCGGCTGCGAGGAAGTTGTACGCGAGGTCGGCGCCGCGGAAGTACCTCCAGACTCAACGTTCGTCCGCGCGATGTTCGGGTCAAGCTCCTCGTCCTCGTTGGCCGAGCATACCTCTGGGGCCTCTTCGCCCACGCCGTAATCGTCGTGAATGCCGTATGGTGAGTCCGGACGGGGCAGATTGTTTACCCACCAAGTAGCGGGCCGTTCCCATGGGTTAACGTGGCGTGAGGATGATTCGCCACGCGTACGAATTGGTGGCGGCATCGGGTCATTATGAGAGGCCTGAGTGTCAGGGAGATGTGCTGGGTTGCTGCCTCTATTACTGTCCCCGGGCTGGTCGTTGCCACTAGGTGATGACATAGTTCTGGAGTGAGTGAATTGGCTGTAATGTTCGTTCCTTTTTTTATTTCTGATCCACGAGGGTAGACCACCGTGCTTGGTGGGGGGGAGGGGGGGGGGGGGGGGGGGGAGGGTTCGGGGGGTGTTTGCGTATGTTGCATGGGGTTGACGGAGCGCATGGGCATGGACGAGGCGCACTTGAAATCGGTGCGCTGTGCATTTGAGCCTGTTCAGACGTTGTGAACGTGCGGTGCTGACGTGAAAGTGGTTTCTGATTGGCGTCGCATGCGGAAACGTGCGACACCTGATGCCAATGTCGCAACGACGGGGCCGTAATGTGGCTGGTTTCGAGTCGACTCGACGTTGGAAGGCGAGTCGACCAATTAGACGGCCATCAAATTCGCTGAATCTGGGCGAAAATTGCGACTGTCGCAAGGGTTGTCGTGAATTTCGTAACAGTGTTACTTTCGCCAATTCGGCCATTCGGCTTGTGGCCGAATATTTGTGTCTCCCGATTTTACACGCCCTAAGCTTGCCTTAGTCTACTGGCGTAGGGAATTTCTACCTTACGCATGTGAGAACCCTGTCCAAGATGCCATGAGTTTTTTCATACTAGAATTTGATAGCTTTTTATAATACAACGCGTCGAAACACAAACACCAGTTTATTTAATAACAAGATACAAGTCATAACGAGTATTTGCTAGGCCTCCTAGGCTCCCTAACTGTAGCAGATCCACTTGCGCCTCCACAGCAGCTTGACTGTTGACCGTCTTCTTGACCCCTCTTGGCCGTCAGAGGCAAATGCCCCTGACGTTACACCCACACACCACGATGAGGTGAGGGTCATTCGCGTGGGGCCTGTTTGGGAGGGGGTGGCGGGTGGAGGGAGGGGGGGGAAGTGCTTGGGAGGGGGGGAACGGGTCAAAATTAGTGACGGGCAGATGAAAATAAACACATCGAATTTGACGATAGGTTCCCCGTTGTCAGAATGTTGTCGGAATGACGGCCAGCCGTCAAGTGGACAGCCAGCCGTCAAAAGTCATACCTGAAGGCACCTGAACCCATACTATCGCCCATGTGTGTGCCTAAATCGAGTGCCTACGCTAATCGCTCCTAATCGTTCTATACCCACTAGCACACCTCTTACAGGCCTGACGCTCGCGCTGGTTTCTCCCGCTTGCGCTGGTTGCTCCCGCTCCCGCCAAATCTGCTCTGCAGAAAAGGGCGGGACGGGAGGGGAAGTCAAACTCCTCCGACCTCGCTCCTTCGGTGCGCCATGTTCTGATGCCCCGCGTGCTCCGATGCCCCACCGTTCGCGCGTGAGACGTCTCCGTAGAAGCGTCGCCGTGCGGCCCCGCGAATCCGACCCCCGCTTCCCCTGCGCGAAAGAATAGCACACACATTTAGTTAGATTCCTCGGCACAGTGTAAGGAAAAAGTTCCTCGGCACAGTGTAAGGAAAAAGCTTGAATGAAATCGACCGCACTGAATCGACGAGCTGAAAGGTGACGACAGGGCGAACAAACCGCCACTGCAGGGAGCCGCGTCGCCAAGCACCGTGCGTCGCGGTGCGCCGTGCTCCGATGCCCCGCCGCGCGCGCATAAGACGCCCTTGAAGAAGCGTCGTCGCGAGCTCCCTCCCACTCCCGCTTCCGCTGCGCTCAGAGAAAGGAACACACGGATAAAAATTAGTTTCATAATCAAGGAAAAAAACAAAACGGAATATGACTGCACTTACCAGGCAAGGGAAAGAACTTCCCTCCGTTACCTCCTTTGCTCGCCGCCGTCCCCGCGAGCTCCCACCCGCAAGCTGCCACCTCGTTATTCCCGCCGGCTCCTCCTGCGCTTAAGGCAAGAGGGAGAGCTAGCTCTCCTTTACCTCCGCTCCTCGCTGTAGTTGCTGCCGTGTTGTCTGCTCCTCCTGCTGCACTGCAGAGAGAAGCGCCGCCAAGCGCCGTGCTCCGATGCGTCGCGTTCTGATGCGCCGCGCTTCGCCGTGCGCCGCGCTGCGCCGTGCTCCGATGCCCCGCCGCGCGCCCGTGAGACACCCCCGAAGATGCGTCGCCGCGAGCTCCCTCCCGCTTCCGCTTCCGCTGCGCTAAGAGAAAAGGAGCACACAGATGGGAATTAGTTTCATAATCAAGGAAGCAGCTTAACTGAATTAGACAGCACTTACCAGGCAAGGGAGAACTTCCCCCCGTTACTACCTCCATGCTCGCCGCCGTCCCCGCGAGTCCCCACTCCCGCTTCTGCTGCACTAAGAGAAAAGGAACACAGAGATAGAAATTAGTTTCATATCAAGGAAAAAGCTTAAACGGAATTAGACGGCACTTACCAGTCAAGGGAGAAAACCTTTCCCCCGTTACCTTGCTCGCCGCCGTCCCCGCAAGTCCCCACCGGCGCTCCCGCTGCGCTAAGAGAAAGGAACACAGATAGAAATTAGTTTCATAATCAAGGAAAAAGGCTTCAACGGAATTAGACGTCACTTACTAGGCAAGGGAGAACCTCCCCCCCGTTACCTTGCTCGCCGCCGTCCCCGCGAGTCCCCACCGGCGCTTCCGCTGCGCGAAAAAGGAACACACAGATAGTAATTAGTTTTAAAATCAAGGAAAGGCTTAACGGAATTAGACTGCACTTACCAGGCAAGGGAGAACCTCCCCGTTACCTCCATCGTTTGCCGTCCCCGCGAGCTCCCACCTGCGCTTCCGTTGTTGCTGCAAGCTCCCTCTGCACTTGAAAGGCAATGAACACTAAAGCAAACGTTAGATTTAGAAGAGGAATCAACTCGACAGAATTCGACGGTACTTACCAGAGAAGAGGAGAGGGAGAGGTAGCTCTCCTTTACCTCCGTTACTCGCTGTAGTTGCCGCCGTGTTGCCTGCTGCACTAAGAGGAACACGAAAATAGGCGTAAGATACTCGGTAAAAGAAATAGCAAAACGAAATGAGACAATTCTTACCGTGAAAGCCGCGGGGCCTTTTACCGTTGTAGCCGTTGCTGTAGGAGGTCGCTGAAGGTCGTTGCTGTGGATGGTCGGTGTAGTCGTTGTCGCCGGATGGGGCAGTGGAGCGGGAGGGGGGGCGGAGAGGAACGGGCTGGGGCTACCCTTCCCCCTCCGCCGCGCCCCTGCCCCTGTCAGATTATGTTATTTGTCTAGCCTGCAGTGGGGTGCTCAATAGTGAGTACAACCCCTTAGGGTTTCCTATATGTATCCTGCTGCTTGCTAGTTCACATCATCATTCCCATTCTCACTTCTCCAATTCTCCTTCGTATACCACAAACCCTAGTCCTAGGGCACAACCTACTACCTCCTACTGTGGCCTAGGCTACTAAGCCTAGGCCACGCTCCTATTCTTCCTGACATGGTATCTAGAGCGGGCAAGATCCTGCTGCCTAGCTCAACGGGCCCACCAACTGCTTCCGCTGCCCTACTGTTCGCCGCGCGCTCCGTGGTGCGCGGCACTGGATTTTTCTTCCCGCCACGCGCTTCGAGCGTGTGGCGGCTTATTCTACCCGCCGCGCGCTCGGGGCGCACGGCGGTTATCCCGTCCGTCGAGGCGCCCTCCGGGGGGCCTGCGTGCTGCTCCCTGCCGTCGCATGGCGCGGCGCCTTCAGGGGGCCCGCCCCTGCTCGTCGCGGCGCCCCCCCCTGGGTGCCGCTCCTACTCGTCGCGACGCCCCTGCGGGATCCGCGCGGCGTCGCCCTGCTCGTCGCGACACCTCTGCGGGACCCGCGCAGCGTCGCCCCTACACGACGCGACGCCCCCTGGGCGCCGTCACTGGTCGTCGCGGCGCCTTCCGGGGGCCCGCCTGCTGCTCTCCCCCCGTCGCCCGTCGCTCGCGACACCGCCCCTGCAGCAGCTCGCGACGCCGCCCCTGCAACAGCGCGCGAGCCGCCCCTGCGCCAGCGCCATCGCTCCTGGAGCGGCCACCCCTGGTGCAGCCGCCCCTGGACTCGCCACCCCGCCCCTGGAGCCGCCGCCCCTGGTGCAGCCGCCCCTGGACCCGCGACGCCGCCCCTGGAGCAGCCGCCCCTGGTGCAGCCGCCCCTGGACCTGCGCCGTCGCCCAGGGAGCAGCCGCCCCTGGTGCAGCCGCCCCTGGACCTGCGCCGCCGCCCCTGGAGCAGCCGCCCCTGGTGCAGCCGCCCCTGTACCCGCGACGCCGCCCGTGGAGCAGCCGCCCCTGGTGCAGCCGCCCCTGGACCTGCGCCGCCGCCCCTGGAGCAGCCGCCCCTGGTGCAGCCGCCCCTGTACCCGCGACGCCGCCCGTGGAGCAGCCGCCCCTGGTGCAGCCGCCCCTAGAACCTCAGTCGTCGCCCCTGGAGCAACCGCACCAGCAGCAGCCGACCATGCAGCTGCCCGCGACGCCGCTCCTGGACCCTGTGCAGTCGCGCTCAGTCTCACCCGCGCCCTCGTGCGCTCTACCCTACCTGCTCCGCGCTGTTGCTCTGCACGCGCGGTTGCCCGCGCCCTCGTGCGCTCTACCCTACCTGCTCCGCGCTGTTGCTCTGCACGCGCGGTTGCCCGCGCCCTCGTGCGCTCTACCCTACCTGCTCCGCGCTGTTGCTCTGCACGCGCGGTTGCCCGCGCCCTCGTGCGCTCTACCCTACCTGCTCCGCGCTGTTGCTCTGCACGCGCGGTTGCCCGCGCCCTCGTGCGCTCTACCCTACCTGCTCCGCGCTGTTGCTCTGCACGCGCGGTTGCCCGCGCCCTCGTGCGCTCTACCCTACCTGCTCCGCGCTGTTGCTCTGCACGCGCGGTTGCCCGCGCCCTCGTGCGCTCTACCCTACCTGCTCCGCGCTGTTGCTCTGCACGCGCGGTTGCCCGCGCCCTCGTGCGCTCTACCCTACCTGCTCCGCGCTGTTGCTCTGCACGCGCGGTTGCCCGCGCCCTCGTGCGCTCTACCCTACCTGCTCCGCGCTGT